TGTAAACATATCAGTGACAGCTAGAAAAAATAATCTTGATTCAAACAGCTGTTCGTTATTTCATAGCTGAATATGTGATAAACATTGGGAGAAAACTTTACAAAAAATCGCACAAAATAGGGTTTTTAAACGTCCGTCATTTTATTTACAAAGTAGTGACGCCATATTTTAATGGCTAAAGACAATCTCGCCAATCCAGTTAATAGATTAAAATGATTTGGAACTTGATAGGTACTCTCGTTTTTCAGGAGAAGGCCGCGTAAAATGGCTCTTGGGCCGTAACAGACATGAAGACAGACAGAAATTTAGATGAGACTTGTTTCGGTTTCTTTAATGTATAAAACGTAAAAATAACCTTAAAGTTTATGATTCTGAGCAATGTACAGACAAAACTCTAATTTTATTTATATAGATTGTAAAATGTTTGTACTCAATTAAGTCTTCATATTGTAAACTAGCTTTGCCATAAATAAACTGATTGAATTGAAGACCAGGTCGCAAAGACTGCTCATCATCCTATCTCGCGTACACGGTGAAATTAAGAGCAATCTTGCAATCCTGAAGACATTGTGTTGTTGCGACAGACAAATGTTACGTAATTAAGAATGGTCAAAATTGTGTTGCAAGTGTTAATAGAGTGTATGAATGAAATGAAAACACTCTTTTGACTACTTGTAGGAACAATTTTATAATTCTCAATGGCGAAATGTAAAATAAAAATCCCCCCAAAATGGCAGTGGCTTAAGTGCACTGCTATCACCCCCTCCCCTTCCTGGACACTTCAGACTCCATCACATTAATCTTATACATAGGGCAGACACAGTTTTAGTAGCACTAAATGTATACAGTCAGTATTTAATATTTATGTTTAACGAATGCTTGCTTAGGAAAGGAATGCTAAAATGTGCTATCTTTGCAGGTTTCAATATCTGAGATAGAAGACCTGCTAAAGACCCACTCTAAAGTGATAGATGTTGGAGTTGTAGCTAAACCCATGTCTGACTCTTACAAACTGATTGTCTTCATTGTGGTCAAGTCAGGCTGTCAAGTCTCAGGAACAGAAATATCAGAGTATCTCTCAGGTTTGTGTCTTATTTCAGCACTTTATAGAAAATATTGTGTCTGAATAAATTACTGTAATAACTGGACGCGCAGTAGCAAGCCCTTCCATAGCAAGATCAGTACCTAACGTAACGTTCTAGTAAATCTGTCGTTAATCCTAACTAAGGTTGAACCTGAAGTTCTAATCCAGGTTCATAAATGTCCATATTCAATGAAATAATTTTATTGCAAAGAAAATCAGAGCTATCACAAGACCATGCTGACTACTCAAATTGCCACGTGAACTAGCTCTAAGCAGACATTCATGCTTCAAATTGTCAAACACCAAAACGTTAGGTATTGTTTTTTAGCATAGCTTGTTGAAAAAAGCTTTTACAAATTAATCTAAGGCTTTATTTGGGTAAAAACCAACATTACAGAATAACACAAATAAACAAGTTAAATTTGCATAGTAACCAGGACAGCTGATCAAAGTTGTAATATCAAGGACATTAGAAACCATCACATTCTCCCTTGGTTAAAATTGTGTACATAATCTTGTAGGTATTTTGGAAGTCTTTTCTCCCTGATTGGTCTTTGATAAGTTAATGGTAAATTTGGTACCGTACAGATTGAGGCAAAGGAAAAGATTTACAACAGACCAAGTTTTGTATTTTGTCTGAAAAATTACGTATCCACTTAGAGTAATGGGCAAACATTCCCACAACACGCTTAAGAGATGTCGCATCTTTGGGAGGAGGCATCTCCAACAACGGTTTCAGTCTGTCTGGATCTGGTCTCATGGTCTTATTACATATCAAATAACCTAACAGCTTTATTGAACTAAGAGAATACTTGGACTTCTTATCGTTCAAAGTGAAATTATACTTTTTAGCTACCTGAAGAAACCTTTGTAAATTCTCGTTATGTTCTGCTTGAGAGCCGCCACAGATAGTTATATCATCTAAATAAGCATACACTCCTTTAAGGTTTTCTTTTGATATTATAGAGTGTCTATCACTCTTTAAAAACAGGTTACACCGTTGGTAAGACCAAAGGGGATTCTAGTGAACTGGTATAGCTTACCGCTTACCATCAGCTTTAAATGCTGTGTAAGGTCTTTCTTCTACAGAAATGGGAATTTGATGATATGCTGATTTCAAGTCAATAGTATTGACTATGGCATAGCTAGCCACTTTACTTATAATGTCGTCAATCCGGGAGAGTGGGTAAGCACCAAGTAAAGTATATTAATTTATCGTTTGTGAATAGTCAATATTTAGACGTTTCTTATGGTTTTCATTCAGAGTGATTAGTGGCTGAGCTCGCCAGTGTAAAGAAGAAAAAAATATTTATTTGTAAAGAAAAAAAGGAAATTCTAACTAATATATTTAAATGTAAATATTCAAATATATTTTTCTCGCAAATACTCTCAAATGACTGGCTCTTTTCAAACCTTGGTTGCCCCTGGGTTGGAAGAACAAAGTGAAAAAAATAAACAACAGAGCGTTGGCAGTGGAACCTTGATGTTAAATAAAAATTGAGTGAGCCCTGTGGAATTTGATGCAAACGCTATAAGTCTTTCTTCTCCATTTATGATATGGAACAAAATGGCAACCCCTTTAGGACTAGCATCATAAGTGAGCACTTAAGGTTTTGAGACATCACAGTGTACTAAAACATTAGAACATAAAACCCAAGATTTACTTTCTTTAAATGTTTGAGAACATTGCTCGGTCCATTTCCATGGAACATCTTTCTTTAACAATTCATAAAAACAATGAAGTTTAGCAGACAAGTTTTGAATAAAATTTTCATAGTAATTTATTAAACCAACATAAGCCCTTAGCTCCTCTTTACTAGTAGGTTTGGGAGCTCTTTGAATAGCTTCAACAATACCTTGTTGTGGACTGACCCCTGATGCTGAAATGACGTAGCCTAAATATTCCACTTCAGGCTGTAATAACTTGCATTTACTTTCTTTAACTTGAACTCCAAATTCCATAAGACGCTGTGACAATTTCTCCAATCTATAAAAGGCTTCCTCTCTCGTTGATCTGCTAACCAAAACATCATCTAAATAGGTTACAGTTCCTGGTGATCCGTTTATAATTTGATTGATTACAGCTTGAAATATAGCTGGAGCTGAAGAAAGTCCAAATGGCAGACGTCTTAGTCGAAAAAGTCCCTTGTGAGTCGTTAACGTCAACAGAGGTTGTGATTTCTCTGCAACAGCTAATTGCTGATAAGCATTAGTGAGATCCACGACTGAAAAATATGTACAACCAGACAGAGAAGCAAATATATCCTCAGGTTGAGGTAATGGATAATGTTCCGTCTGTAACACCGGATTCAATGTTACTTTGAAGTCAGCGCACAATCAGACACCATTAGTCTTGGGCACTGTAATTAACGGAGTAGCCCATTCTGAACAAGAAACTCTGTACGCTATACCATCCTATTTCATTTGATTATTATTTTATATATTTTTTATATAATCAGCAAGTTTGGTTGGTTAGGTTAGTTTATGACAGTTTAATTTTATAAATATTCATTTTTTTACTTATTGAAAAACTGCAGCATAGGTTTATGCATGTAAAACAACGCGGGCTTGTTTGGACGCCGTCTAGAGGGGAGGTGGAGGGAGAATCATTTCCCCCACTCCGCAGCGCCAGGGGACAACATCGCGATGATACAGCGAAGGTTTAGACTCCAGTTTGTTATTTAAACAAACTTAACAATCAGAACAAAACAAAAGTCTTTAACATCTGGAATTCAACCAACATTATAAAATCAAATGCTGCTTCTTACACAATTAATATAAAAATATATTACAACAACAAAACTGTTTAGCTTACAGTGGGTCATTCCTGACTCTATGTAATTTATATAAAATTTGGTCTAATGGTTGCTTGGATATAGCAAAGATGATTAAGTACAGATCAGATTAATGAGAGGTTACTGTTTTTATGTGGTTGAATATGGCCTAACCGACGATTTCATCGTAGTTAAGACTTTAAATTGATAATTGTATGTAATTAAGCTTATTGATTGTTATCACTTTTAGAGCCGATATGAAAGTTTTAAAATTGTTAGTTATGCTCTGAATGTTCCCAGAACAAGCCGGAGTTGCTTTAGGTCTAGAGGTTCATGAGGTTGAGACGATTCCTAAATCTCCAAACTCGATGTTTATCAAAGTCAACCGAGAGAAGCTACTCAGCATGGCTGATAAACTCTACACATAATATCATCAATGAATTATCAATATTATAAGTTTATACAGGACTAGCTGTTTGCATGCTCATTGTTCAGGTAAACTTGTATTTATTATTAAAATTTATTTATCCCCTGTAAAACAGAGTTTTTAAATACCCCTGCTGCAACAAACCTGCAGACTAAGCGAATTTCCTTGTATTCATGTTATGGAGGGAAATGTTAATACTTACTACCATGGAGATCAATCCAATCAATGGGAGATCAATGGGTTTAAAGAGTCTCCATGTAAAACCACAATAAAATAGAGTTTTTTAAAGTATTTTTGGTACACTCTGTCATTGATACCACTAAACAAACACATTATTTGCTATAACAATTTTATAATTTAGTGATGCGTTTGGACGTAAAACATCTACAATTTAAATTAAACATCACTCTTACTGTTTTAGATATACAATATACCAACATACTTTTTTATTGAGATATTTTATTACTAAGCAATCAAAAAATATAAAGGCAATTCTAGAACTTTACTTTATGTAAGAAGTGTAAACATGGACAAAAATCATATCCAAAACACTCACACCAACACCAAGTTTGTCAAGATTGTATGATAAGAATATTCAACACCTTCACAAAAGAGGCAACCTCGACTCTGACAGGCTGTCAGCTGCGAACAATACGCTTAATTTGTTAGCATTACAAGCGAGTTGCAGACTTTCGGCAGTCGCAGTTTGGTTTTGTAGGTGAGAGTGGTTACATTTGTACAAGTGCTTCTCAGCTGACATGCATTTGAAAGGTGCCGAGATCAATGAAGCAATCCCTCGTTTTTCCCTTGAAACATCGGTTCTCAATTTAATGATTGAAGCAATGGAATATAATGCAAACAAAGTAGCTCAGGTATGGCAATATTGTAACATTAGTTGGGTTGATGTAAAATGTTAGCACAACAAACCAATCTATGAATGTCGAGCTTTGTGTGGTTAGATCTTTTTTTAACAAACCATCAATCTAAATTACCTACATGATTGTTTTTTGTGCTATCATTTAAATTCTTGTATCGCTTAAAAGGAATATAGCTATTACAAATATTTTCTGAAGTAAAGATCGCTTAGGATTAATTTCTGTGGAGCAATAAAGTAGGAATAGAAGTTTGATGTTATGCACACGTTAGTGTTGATCGATATATCGCCCCTCCAAGAACTCTGCCTTTAAAATAACAGAGTAGAATGTTACCTACGAACTGGCACCATTTTATTAGTCTTAATTAGTTTATACATTTTCACGTCAACAAATCTAGCACAATATATTTAGTTTATTATTATATTTGATCAATTGTTCCCAGATTTCCTCATTCTTTATCAAATGCATTAATTAATTGATATTATTGTAGACTCTCGCTCATACCACCTGAGCTGAAGGAGTGTTTAAGTAATTCAGACTTATGTCATCCCCTAACTGAATCTGAAAAATCTTACTTAAAGTTCAGTAGGTTTCATTTGACAGGTTGTAGTGATGAATATAAAACTTAATATTCATTGCTTAGTACCAGGTGGTACACACCTCTATTGAGAGAAGCACACGTGTTGGATTGTGTGTATCAACAAAGTCTGTGATGTACAGTGGAATTAATACCAACCATAATTATTGAAACTGTACATAGATATAAAACTGACATAGATATGAAACTGTACATACCTAGATGTACTTGTATAATAGATATTTCACAAATTTACATGTTTAGGATTAAACTAATGAACTAGTGAGTAATTATATAACTCATAAAAGTGAATATTACACTTCAGTATTCACAGAAATAACACCAATTAAGTAATAATATTTACAGAACCAACTATAAGTTATTTGCACAATCTACTAACTAGCTTACCCTGTCATTACTTTGCTCATGAAATGTTAAGTTAAACCATTGACTGAATTAATTAATAGTCAAAAGTTAAACATAATAATGTGTCTACTTAAGTTAAACTAAGAGAGAACTTCTTAATTTACAACACTAACTGTCCATCAGGAGCTTCGGACTACTCACTCTGAAACCATCTACATCTATATAATATTTTTGGCCAGAAAACAATTCCCGCTGTATCTCATCATTGCATGTCAAGTAGAATCACATGCTTAAACCTGATTTTCCAATAGTAGTACTGTCAGATATCCCATAACTTTATTGGAAAGTTGTATGCATCTTAAAGTACGGTAACATAAACGATAAACACCTTGCATGATGTTTTATTTATATATAATTTTATTTGTCTCTATGGACTTATTTAAAGGTAAGCCTGCTTTCCTGTCAATTTCCTTAGTAATTCCTGGCAAATGCCCTATCTTTTTATCAGATAATTTTAAAACTAATTTTATAATTAAAATGTTAATTTTATAACTAAAAATTTATAAAATAAATTTAAAGATTTTCTTAAATTGACGTGAAGGTCTCTCCCACAATCCCCCACTCCTTCGCAGAAAAGGTTCTCATCAGTTCCTGGAAGAGGAAAATGAGACGCTAGTAGGATAACATGGGAACTTTAGAGGCCACCGGGACAGAGCCCTGATGGAATTTCTTGAAAACGCTTCTCATTGCACATCTAGAGCTTAATTACAATCTCCATGCCAATTCCTGAGTTCCTATGGTTATAGTAGTTTTTGAGGTACAGTGATCAATGTCAGTGGTATTTGACTTTTATAATATGCACAAACAAATTACCAACAAAAACAATGTAACATGGGGAGAGGTGGGAGTATTAATTGTCTTAACTATTTTTATTTTGATTGCGATTTTATTGTCTGTCATAGTGCTTGATCACTTGTTATATTTTCTCCTTAAACTTTCAAAAATATCTGTTCAGATTTAATGGAATAAACAATTATATTACTTTTACTTTTTTACTGTTCATATTAGGTACTTAATCTTTGGTCATTATTGTTTGTTAAAGTTGTTTAGTAGTTAGCTGCACATAGTAGTTGGCTTGTCTCAGAAATATTTTAAAATCGTTGTAAGCCGTTTGGTTTTAGTTATCAGTTTGTCTTAAGTGTTGTCAGGAAGTTGGTGTGAGCCATCTTAATTAAGACATTTTACATATTTACATATACTCATTTTTATTCAGCATAACAGACGTCTATAGGCCTACATTGTATCTCAATCTTACAGATTGAAGATTCTACAGGCAAGACATTCACTTTTGCTGATATCCTTGCGCAAAGCAAGGCAATCTCCACAGGACTCAGACAAACTGGCATCTCCCCAGGAGACTATGTTGTGCTTTGTTGCAGAAAAAGTTGTCTTGCCTTTGCCGTTGAACTGGGTGTCATGTTTACTGGGGCCATTCCAGTCTTGGTTGATGTGAAATGTGAGTTAAATTTAATTGTTAGGGACCCAAACTACAAAGTTATTGGTTGGTCTCTGGTGAGTCCTCTTACACGAGCTTAAGGAAACCGGTCACTAGTACTTATTGTTTAACTTTGAACATTCTAACAGTTTTGCACTCAGAGCCTTGTACAGGATAATTTAAAGATAGAGTGTTCATTTTTTGCCAAATTTTAATAATAGTTTCTCTGTACTCCCAAATTCAACCCCCAAAAGATATTCCTCATAAAAAATATTATAACTCCACCGAGGGCCAAATTTTCCACAAGATTCATGCCTACTGCTCAAAGGTTTAGTGTAAAAAGGTGGGACGTTACAAATAATTATAGTAATAACAAAATACAGGAAAAAACAAACAAATAATAGGTAAAATTAATTACCTTCAACCGCTTAGAACAAAAACTAAATCAGACCCTGATTTCATTTCTAATTTAATTAGATTAATTTAAAATAATAAAATTCCCCAAAAAATTTAATAGCAAAAACTGCAGCTAATTATTATGTTTTCAGCTGCCAGTGAGATTCACAAGTACACCTCAAAACAAAACATTAAAGCAATTTTCTGTGACAAGACAGAGATACAACTAGTAAATCAATCAATAACAGAAATTAATCCAAAACCAATTTTGGTTGCTGCAATGGATGTCAATGGCACCACTATGAAAAAATTACTTTTGTCCAGTGATACATTTTCAGTTTATGAAGTAACGGATATCAAAAAGAAGGTAGTTTTGGTGTTGTTTACCAGTGGAACCACATCAAGTCCTAAGGGGGTTCAGATAACAGATTTGGGTCTCCAGCGACTTGCATACGCGTAAGTATTGAGTTGATTCTTACTTCTCTTATAGACTACTGGTATAGGTACTTACTTAATCTTAAGAGAATTATGTGTAAAATTTGCATCCTTTTCACCTGGACAAGCTAGCATTTCAAATAGCTTTCATCACATCTTTAAAGACTCTAAAAATGTAGTTTATGAACAAATGTTCATAATGCTGCCATCCTTTCAGTGAGACCAAGAATAAAGAAGCAAACATCTAAAATGTGTGTCTGAAATAGAGTGAGAGCTCGTGCGTTTCCTGATGAAGCCTGGGGGTAGGTGGTTTGGTGGTTAGAGTGGCTCTGAACCGGTTTTGTGGGGGCTTTAACCCTACCCCTAGGCTTCACCAGGAAACGCATGAGCTCTAGCATCTCTAAAGTAAATTTTGTGTTACAAGAATATTAGGGGAAAACACTGTCCATTGTATGAATCTACTTTACTAATATTCCTTTACATTTTTGTAAAACCCCCTGGAGACCGCTAGTGTATTTAGAGCCCTCAATGAACCAAAAATTATACCCTCCAATTCACCCTAATAAGAAGGAATCAATTATATCTTTTGACAGCAAGAAGAATGGGTTCACTCTGATTTTCTAGCTGGTCTTATGGGTATTTTTAAAATCCTAGAACGCCAGGCACAAGCCCAGGATTGTTTTTCACATTACTTCAGGCTAGACTTAAGGGTTGTGGCATTATCACTTAAATAAATTCCATTGGTGATTTGGCGGGATTTTAACCAAGGACCTCAGGACCACTCTACCACTAGACCAGCTCCATGGTCTTATTGTTGGAGCACAGGTCTCCTGTTCCTTAAGGCTGGGTTCACCTCGCACAAATCACAAATGGCTTTTATATATGAGATTGAATGACCCAGTGATACAGTGATGGTAGTCTGGCCATTTGACACTATTTGTGTATGTATTTACAATATGAATACATATTTTTGACTCTGATTCTAATTCTGATACAAGCCATCTTCACTAGTTCCATCCGTCAAGGAAACAAATGAGTACTCGTCTCTCAGGATAGGACAATTTTCATTGGAGAATCACTTCAACTGAAAACCATATACTGATAATAGTTTTGTTCTCGTTCATTGTTCAATCGAATGGACACAAAATGAAAACAAACATGTAACTTTCTACCATTTTTCTACTCAATGATTAAAACATTGTACCTGTGATTTTCAGAAAATTCTCTCCAAGAAAGCACCATTGAAAAAATTTATGATTTAACAGATTTACTCACTTTCAGCTTGGGTGATGAATTTGTTGAGTCTTATTTACTGACAAGTCCATTCTCATGGGTCAGCTGCACAATTTCCTTGGTGTCCAGCCTGCTCAAAGGATACTCTCTTGTCCTCAGTGAAGCAAAGGATCCTGCCTCTCAGTTCAAAACCATTGAAAAGTATAAAGTAAGCTTAAAAACATTTATAGTTATCCAAAAAATTATTAAAAAACGTACAGCAGGAGGGACATTAACACAATACATATTTTTGTCATTTTTTGTTTTAGGCTTTTGAAAGTAACATGCATTTTATATGGGGAAATGTAGTGTTTGGTTTATTACTCAAATACTAAAGGAAATAGACATTAGGTGTAAATTAGATAGTTAGTTGTTCATCTTATCAAGACGCTTAAAATGATATGTTATTTGACATATGTTGCTTACAAATGTTGTTAATTTTTTTTATTTACAGGGCTCTGCCAACATTACAAAAAGTTCAATTTTGGTAAAAAATGATCATTTTGAAAATATTACATGTGACACAATCAATGTAAAGCTGTGTTTACCAGGATAACAAATTTTCAATCAGAAGGGAAACATGTTTAGCAGTTTCGAATATACAGGGTATTACGTCAATACGCGAAAAATTCACTAAAATGGCCGCCATTTTGAAACTAATTGAGTTCTGTTTTCATCAAAATGTTGCTCTATGCAAGACCTTTCTAAAAATGTACAATGAGATAAAATATGTTGACTTAAGGAAATTTCAAGATTCAAACCTGTGACCTTCAGTTCTGGAAAACCCTGCGCTTGGATCATGTTCTAAGAATTTTAAATGGATTGTGATTTAGGGGGGAATAATTTTATTACACGCTTCTAAGAGAAAACATATTCCCGTAATAGTATCGTACGGCTGGTCTGCCTCACCCTGTATTAACATGAACATGGGGAAATGCTTTGTTAGCGAGTTACGGCTGACCAAACATTAATTTCTCTCAGAATTTGATACTTTAGCATAAATGAGGGCTTAGAATTTCCTACACGTATGTCGAGAGGTTAGTTCTAGTTTATCTCTTGGTATGTGACTTAACAAATTCAATGAAACAAGTTCCAAAACTGTAAGTTGACAAGTGTAACTAAATTATATCCAGAGATGATTAACTCTTCATAGGATATATCTATATAAATAAAATTACAGTTTTGTCTGTACATTGCTTAGAATCATGCAGTTTTTGGTTATTTTTACGTTTCATAGCCTAAGAAAGCCGAAACGAGTCTTATCTCAATTTCTGTATGTATGTCTGTCTGTTTGTCCATTCTGTGACTCCGTCTGTAACGCCAAAATGTCATTTTACGCGGCCTACTCCTAGAAAACTAGAGTACCGATCAAGATTCTAATCATTTTTCTGTAAATACTGAATTGGTGAGAGTGTCTTTGGTTATAAAAACATGGCCTCGCTTCTTTGAAGACAAAATAACGAACCACCAAAAACCCAATTTTGTTCGATTTTTGTAAATTTTCTCCCAATGTTTACTATTACATTTTATGAAATAACGATCAGCTGTTTGGATTAGTTCTCACTTCTAGCTGTCACTGATATGTTTACATTCAAAGTTGTTTACAAATACCGCAACCATTTCCGATCAAGTTTTGTCAGCACATCCAAACCAAGTGAGATTAAAAACGTTGTGCCTTAACCGCTTTAATTAATCGCAAGTGCAACGATTGTTCTTGAGTTTTGATAACCGGGGAAAATACCGTGAATCAGGGTTGTATTAGTGCAAGGAAACTTACATTTTTTTAATCATCGTCACCAATACCGTAGCTTACAAAGGTTTCCACTCATTGACGGCGCTTCAAGGACAGTTGTGTTACAGTTGTGTTAAGTGCAAAGTAAAAAATCGCAACTGCAGTGGGTGATCTTGGATGTTGCTGCGATCTTGGAAGATCTTTCTGATTTCGCTGTGATCGTACCGTAACAGAGGTTTAACTTAACAGATGTAGCTAAACTCGCTTATCCAATGTGTCACTTTTGGTTTCTACTTACTTACATTTCGAAAACGATATCGGTACTTTTTCTACTTAGGAAATAAAACTACAAACGTACAAAACCCCAGATTTGTGCGTTTTTTTGTCACATTTCTTCCGACTGTTTGCTAGATATATGTACCGATTATCGTTTAGAGATTACGTAATCTTTTAAATAAGAAACCTTTGTTTGGATAAAGGTGGTTTCTTCAAACTGTCATTAATATGTTAACATCTTTTCTCAAATGTAAACATTGGTTTTTGATACTGCTACTTTTCTTTAGAACCAGTGGTAGCAGTAAGAATCATTTTTACATACTACAAACACATCACTATTTTCAATATTTATTTATAAACACTGCACCTTATTGCTTATTAAATTTAATTGATGTCTTACTGTATAATTTTTAGCGTTTTCTGTCTGGACTCCAAAATGTTGTGTGGACTCAATTCTGTATTTGTGTGTGTATGTATATTGGTAACACATTAATGTCCTTATTTTTCGTGGAAAAGACAAGAGCACCATTGTTAATAAAAATTTCAACCCGAATAAAGGGTGCAGTAGTGAGGTTGTGGTAGTGTTTTAACTACTTTTAACCAGTGTGAAAAGTAACTTTCAATTACAGGCCTACCTTAGGGATATGCCTCATAGATCTATACTGTAAAGCAATTCCTTTCATCGTTAGATATAAAATATGGACTAACACGATCGGGTGACATTTAATTGCGAAGCATTCGTTTTGGCTTTGAAACTGTCAGATATTGTATTTGAGAAGGTTTATATGTATTCCTAAACAATTATAGTTTTGCCATCATATCTGGAAAAATGCACACTAAATATGCAAACCAACTCCTGTTCTGAATATAAGGTTTTAACTTACAACAAAATTCCCGTACGTAGAACGGGCAAACAGCTAGTCAATAGCTATAGAGCCAAGTAATTTTAAACACCTATCTTTAGTGATAAATGAAGGAGTGGAGAGTGTCTCCTCCATATCTTTGGTTTTCTCGCTTAAGTGGTCAAGTAAAGCAGGAGATCCAGAAAATGTGGGTTTTATGGAGCTAAATAAAAAATTCATTGATGTTGTAAAGAAGTTGTTAAATATATGATAATTGCATTACTATTTAATTATTCTAGAATTAACGATTCTATTACATTAGGTCAATGGATGGACTGTATCTTCCAGCAGTATGAATCTTTATGTCAAGGAACCCACACTATCTTCAGTGGACCTCTCATCACTAACAGCGATAAATGTTGGTGAGCAAATAAAAATGTTATAGTCAAACTAGCATAAGTGAATGTATTTTTGTATTTTGAATGAGAGTATTAATTAATTACTCTGTACAGAAAAAAAGTAATAAAAAAACAAGAAATGATTACGACTATTATGATCTTGTGAGACAGTCATGACATTGCTGTGGTCGCGGGAGATAATCACATCGTTTGGTGATCTCAAGAGAGCAATGCATTTGTTGTGAAAACGTGGGATGGTCTAACATTAAATTCCCAGGTGAAGAGAAATTTGCTACTTTTCCTTTGAACTTAGGCCCATCCAGAGCTGCATTTGTGCTATTTTTGTGATTGATTTGTTGTGGATCATCAGTTGAGTCAGGTTACAAAACAAGGTTACAACTTACAGGTTACATTAGGCTACAAAACCACACATATATTTGAGAGCGGCAAATATAAAAGTATGGCGGTACGGGCTGTAAAATCTTAAAAATAAAAAGAGATGGGGCGTTCTTTTGGTTCCCGAAAAGGGCGGTTGCTTCTTTAGGAGGGCAAATTTTTAATTGAGACCAAAGAGTGCCTATTCGGAAAAAGATGATTCCCTATACCAGTGTAGGTAGTCTTGTTTACCAACAAAAAGTGCCAGTAAGAAATTTGGTGTTTCTTTTTTCCTCAAGACGGTCTTCTTTCAGGAGGCTCATTCAAACTAAAGGAAGATTCTCCACCGCCAACGCCCACCGCGCCTTTACCATATGATGCCGGATTAAACCGGTGTTTCACGCCTTTATGCGCCGCATGGTCCTTGTGCCGGCCCTGCACATTAAGCTATGCCTAGTCAGGTTTCTCATGAGAAACACACCTGATCTGACATTGGTTGACAGGGTTAGAACTTTATATCTTAGGTGCTTTCTCCTAGGTTGCAGCATTTTAGCTGAGTTTTGCCCACATAAATAGGTTATAGGTGGTCTTATTACCCTCCTCATGTGTATTATACATAAACTTTTGGGTTTAAAGAGTTCTGTTACATTTTTTATAAGTTACTTCTGAATGCATTTTGAATTTTAAATGATAACTTTGGAATTTGCAGGAGGAGCTGTTGTAAGAAAGAAGACAATTGAAAATTTTAATTCACAAGTTTTGAAGGGTAGGATCGGGGTGCAAGTGTTGTACGGGATGACAGAAATTGGAATCATTACAACATGGAACAAACACAATCTACTAGATCTGTCCAAAGCCGACTCTTCAGGCTACTTAGCCCCTGGGGTGGAAGTGAAGGTAGGGTTAACAGTTAATAGTTGTCTTGCTGTTAGTTTCTAATTCCAAATGTGAAGTTCATACTCATTTTTATATTTCTGCTAATAGCTTTTTATACGTTGTGAAACCAGATTACAGATGAAGAAGGCCATCTAGTAGAACCAGGAAGCGTAGGAGAAGTAAGGACTCTGTCTCTTTCTACAATGCTGGGCTACTGGGGACGACCTGAACTTAATCCTCTGTTGTTTGACTCTGACGGATTCTTTAAGACTGGAGATGCTGGATATTTCGACAACGAAGGTTTCCTTTATATTTCTGGAAGAGTGAGCGATATTATAACCCATGGAGATTCCAAGGTTAGTAACAGAAAAAGGATTAAGTGCATAGGTCCTAGAGTCAAATAAAATTGATTGCCAGTTTCCATTCAGACTCCTCATTAGAGAATTTTCCTTTTGCAGATTGGCAAATAGAAAGAACACAGAATTATTTTCAAGGTAGCACTTGCATGCTGTACTATAGTAAAATAGTTTATACATTCAATAATATAAGAGCGTCCTGAGGAGTTGTCTCTCCCCTCTGTCAACTTACAAAAGCAGCCAGCCTTTGATAACTAATTGAGGCCCACTGTTGTTTTAGAGTCTGAAATGCAAGTGAAATGTTCACATCAATATTTTGTATTTTTTTAAATTTAATTTGACAATATTGATACTTTTTGTGCTGTTGCATTCATCTATCTATTACATTCATTTTATACTTTTTTAAAGTGATCATTCATTTTTTTCACAATTTGCTAAATATAATTCTACCTTTCAGGTTTCAATATCTGAGATGGAAGACCTGCTAAAGTCCCACTCAAAAGTGATAGATGCTGGAGTTGTAGCTAAACCCAAGTCTGACTCTTACAAACTGATTGTCTTCATTGTTGTCAAGTCAGGCTGTCAAGTCTCAGGAACGGAAATATCAGAGTATCTCTCAGGTTTGTGTCTTATTACCACTATTTTGTCATGATGGATTTATAATTTCATCTTGAAAGTGTTACCTTTAACAATAAATAACCACGCAAATGAAATAAAAATATCAATTTTATATATTTAAAAAATATATTTTACCTATCACAATAAATTACTGAACAAACTGTGACAACTGTGATTTTATGTAATGTTAATTATTTTCTACTACTTTAGTTTTAAAATTATTATTAGTGTTCTGAATGTTCCCAGAACAAACCGGAGGTGCAGTTAGTCTAGAGGTTCATGAGATTGAGACAATTCCTCGAACTCCGTCCAACAAAATTCACAGGGGCTTGCTGCTCTGCATGGCTGATAAGCTCTGCACATGATGTCATCAATCAAGGAGTTATAAATATTTGTCTTAAGTTTATATAAAAAAATAATATAAAACATCAAAATAATAGGCTAAGAAAAAGAACCATCCCTAGATTGGACAATGAACAAACACAAGTTTTCACTTTTTATTTTATGAATTTGCTATGGACAAGAAAGCAAAACTGAACTTTTTTTTAATTTAATTTTATTTTAAATTCATATTGGTAACTAAATAAATAAATATTTCAAAATAACTTTAGCCCCCCATTTTTGTTGGAATGAATTTCCTTTTATGTGCATTCAATAAGGCTGCATTTACGTTATCAAGCACAACTAGTTACCTGCACAACTTCATATTACGCTCTTTCCAATGACACCAAAAACATGTCAATCGGTTCAGTAGTTTCAGAAGAGTAATTGTCACAAAAAACCTGCTTGTGTATTAAATAAGTATAGATATTTAAGTTTGAAGTACATGAACCTGCCTCATAATTTACAACAAATTTTTTTCAAAATTGATTTAAGACTATTTGTAATTAATTTACCTAACTGGTGTGGTGAAGAATTAAAAGGAGGTCGCCTAACATATATAACAGGGATTAATTTTTTATTTTGAAGACAATAAAACTGTATGGATGACGTTTGATATTTTTAGAATAATTAGCAGCTTCAAAATTATTTTAATAAATAATATGAGTAGTTCGCCAGTTTGTAGAAGAGTTGGAGGAAAATTATCGACTGATAGTGGCTTTGCGGATGGCTCAGTGCTTAAGTGGAAGTTAATAAGAGGATTGATTCCTCGTGAGTTACATCTCCAATCAAGCATTCTTCCCACTTTTTGTTAATCCTTATTCATTGTGCCTTAAAAAAGAATCAGTTTTCAAATAATTTGGATTTTTGTGTTCATATGAGGGGAACGTGATAAAAAATAGCCTTAGGCCTATTGAATCACTAAACAATCCATAGGTTCAAGGAAATTAAAAAGTCGATAAAAAATTATGATGAAAAAGTTAAAACATTGTCCTACAGGTGTGGATGTTTTTGTCAGTGACTGAGTATTTTGAATTTGTCACTTTTTGGCTTAAGTGATCATTCCAACCATAAAGGTTGAATAAATTAGAATTTTTTATATTAAAATATTATCTGTTAAAAATTTGTCAGTTTTTCACCTCTGATTTAACTTATTATGATCAATATGTTAATTAGACATAGAAGGAAAATTACCTAAGCATTTTTTTTTCATTGAGTTTTGTATATTTTGAACCATTAAATAACATTGAAAATATTTACAAAAATAATAAACAATGTAAGTGGGTTCATTAGAACCTTTTACTAAAAATATGAATACAAATAGTACAATTAATCTCATATAAATTAAAAATCCTACCTAATAATCACAGATGTCAACAACATTGCACCATTTTTGTGCATTTTGTTATTATTTTGATTGATGCATTTATTGTTTTATTGGCACTTAAACATATAACAACATATAAATAAAGTTTTAATAAAAGTTAAAGGTAAAATACTAAGTCTTTTTACATTATATTATGACTTAAAATAATGTACAATATTCACAAAGAGTTGCCCTGAAATATTTAAGTAAATTAAACTATGAAACTAAAGAATCTGTCAATTAAGTAAACATGCCGATAAATAAAACAAAATTTCATATAAGGTATTAGTTTTGAGGTAATCAAATTTAGGGTATTCTATTTCAGTAGATTGCACTTGTAGTGGACAATAATCTAGCTTAAGCCTGAATCAATATTTCAGGTAAAAAATATACAATTTTAAATTATGACTAGTATTAAAGAGTCCAGTTTGTATTAAAATATTATTTCATGTAAGGCACTAATAATTATTCATGCATTGAAAAATAACAGACCAAAAGTGAGCATAAATACTGTATAATATATTAGTGATATTAATAGCCATGAAGATGAAATAAAATATTTTTTTCCAATTTACTTTCGGTTCTTATCAGATACCGTACATAAGTCTGTGGTCAAAGAAATGTTTTAAACGATCATTAATTCATAATCATGCTTGTGGAACACCGGACTAAGTTTTAAAATATTTTACAACATTTAGGAATTTAGTACCGTCATGAGCACTAACCTAAAACATCACAAGGGATGGCTGTGAAAATGCTTAGCTGATTGTCTTGGACATAATAATTTAATTAAAAAACATTGTAATGCTCTTTTGACAGTTCATGTTTCAGTCCGTTTTGTACTTGTAACTTGCGTATCCTAGACTGCACGGATTCACACTTGACTTCACTACAGCGGGGGAACTTACTGCCATTGATGGCTTTCACTTCTCTGATCACTACTAGATTTCCATTTCTTTCTCGCATGAGCTCGAGTCCTACACACTTCTTGCCATTCAACGGCGTTGATGTTGTCGGATTTCCACCATTAAAAACAGTCAGAGATTTGCGTTGTTTGATGAATGCACCTTCCTTGACGTCCTCTGTTTGAGTAGCAAACCGAGACAGAGCCCTCGCGAAGGATCCGCTACATTCTCTCGGATAGAGCCTCGCCTGTGAACGTTGGTTCTTGGACGCTTCCCACACGTTGTAACACGAAGAGTAGTGTCGACTGTGACTTAATCCCTTGGAGAATTGAAAGTCAAAGGAGTCGTCAAGGGAAATTATACTTGATCTGTCACTTGATGAATCTATTGACATTTCACTAATAGTATCGCTGTTTGAGTCGCTGATGGAAGAATTGTCGGAACTCAGAGAACCATTGATGGACGGAGGAGGCGAGTGTTCTTCCATGTCATTGATTATAAAAACTCTTCTAAATTTATAAACGGACTCCCTGTCTACTTCATAGTTGTGAGAGAACAAGGACCTCTCGTTGCTGCTCCTGGTGAATCGCAGAAACCTTGAAACTGGCATGGTCTGCATTCCATTTGCTCGTGTCATACTTCTAAAGCTATCGCCTTTTGTCAATCTAACTTCACTCGGGTTTTCTCTAACTGTACTGTTGGTCTTCTTTGTGTCTTTTCCTTCACCGTCACTATCCAGTTTCTGCACCAAATTGTTCATACTTGCTTTGAAAGATTTACGTCTTTCGGCGCTCAGACCTTTGTTGATGTTGTCCTCCACAGATGGTTTGGCCGCAGGTAAACTTGTGCAGCTTTCTCTGACTGCTGTTGTTTCCTGACAGGGCTTTGTGTTAGCAACGTTGTCTGGTATGAAGTCTGTTGTCTCGTTGTTGTCGGCAGCTTCCTCGCAAGCTGGGATCGGCCTCTTGCTGGGTACTGGCGTTCTCGGCTTTGTCGGCTTGTTTTCCACAGAGAGGATGATGGAAGACTCACAGGCTTGTCTAGTGAACCACGGATGCTGAAGACACTTCTTAGCAGTCAGTCGGTTACTGTAAAATAATTTCATTATTACAATCAGTTCAAATATATTTTATGTTTGTATATTGCACACTTTAAAGAAGATGGCCAACGACTTAACATTTAATTAATCCAAATTTTGTCAAAATTAAAATTTTCTACATATGTCTTTTAGTTTACATCTTGAAACATATTATATCAGCAAGTTAATATTTTACTAGTGTACATGTTGCTCGAATTCGAGCAATTGCAAAGTATTACAGGAGTTATTTCAAAACGAATAACAGTCATATATACGATGAGTTTAAAAGAGTCGATTTAAAGATTACCGGTGTGAAACTCAGACCAAGTTTATATTCGTTATTGAAAAACCTAAAACATTCCGGCCGGTTTTCTTCTTCTCAAAATGCCTCGCTGTACATACAGGCAACACAGGTCATTGAAAGAGGACCAATTGAGAACGAAAAGTCGTTTTGGGGTAGTGTTAGGGCGCATTTGTAACCTAATAGTTGAGATTGTCCAGGGTCAGGTGCTGATTGCCTATTACGCGCCACTTTTCTGTAGCTGCGGTCGTTATCACGATTATGCCTCCTGTCTATGTTTCGTTGTCGTCGCGTCGGAGGCATTTAAAAGAGAAAAAAAAACAACAAATAAACAAATTATAGCTACACAAAACAACGATAAATGCACAAATTTAAGTTACAATCATGCTAACACAATCCGTCATAGGGGCACAAAACAACGATAAATACACGATAGATACAACCATACTAACGCGATCCGTCTAGGAGGTTATGTTATGAAATAGTAAATAAATGTACGCAATGCGTTTCAATGAATTGAAAAATAAATATCTGCAATTAAATTATACAGCTGATCAAAATGTAAACACATATGTTCTTCATAAGGATAACATGGGAACTTTCAAATCCACTGGGGCAGTGCCCAAGGGACTTTTTCAAAAATGTAAGGCCAGTTTGCAAATCTACGCGACACGCTCTTTCCAATGAGGCGTCAATGGATAAAATCGGTTAAGAAATGGTGGAGGAGTTCAACCGACAAAGTTTCATGTAGCGTATTAATTATATAGATTTAAAAATACGTTGTCTACCAGCCCTCACGCAGAGTTAAGCCCTCAGTTAAGCTAGTGAGCTCATACCCAACCTTTTAGACTCAGGCCCATCATCAACATATTTGATGGAAGAACATCTTCTCTCAAGGCCATTCACATAAATCTCAATGATGACATCTCAAAAGTGTTTGCCACTAAGTTGACAGTAACAACAAAACCAACATAATCACATACCTTGGGTTTTTAACCATAAGCTTCTGCATGAAGTCTTTAGCATCCTCGGAAATATCTTCAAACAGATCGTCAGGAAAGTCGAGCCGGCATTGCGCTATGTTGAGAAAGGTTTCTTGTTTGTCGTCGCCTCCGAAGGGAGAACATCCTGTCAGCAAAACGTAAACTAACACTCCAACCGACCTGGAAGCAACAAAGGAATTAACTCTTTTACTCCCTAAAGGTTTACTCCTCTATGAAGTTTACTGAATGAGCTGCATGTTTTCTTTAAAAATCTCACAAATCAGATAAGACAAACACATTAAACAAATAAGAAGCGACTAAGATTATTTTACAAATCCTATTTTTTGCATTTTCAACCATAAGTAACGTTTCCTAATCATGAATGTTTCAATCATGAATTCACTAATGATTCGTTAATTTATCATTTACTTTGTCTCTCTTTGTACAAATTTTATTCCAAATTTAGATTTATTCAACACAAATGAATTTTGATTTCTTTGGCTTGACCACAATTTACAAATAAATAATTTAACTTTAAAAATATATTGAGTGGACATCATGAAAAATACAAGTACAAAAATTTTTTTCGCTAAGGTGGACCAGTTTATAAGTAGTCTAACCTTTAGTGAATGGTCTAACTTACCACATATCTGTAGCCAGGCTGATAGGTTCGTAGTTGAGCACTTCAGGGGCTGAAACAAAAAATCTAATGTTAAAATTTGTTCCTAAAAAATTGCTATTTGTGTATTAAGAGCGCAAAGTATTGCCGCTCGAGAATTGTAGATGGGACATTTTGACATTCGTTTTAATATCGGCAATGAATGTGCTCGTTTTCATAAGATTTTTCCTTCCAACATAATAACCATAACATAACTTATGGATTAACTTTTTAGTTGTATATAAAATATCATTTAGATTATGTTTGATCTCTTGTTTAGATTATGTTATTTGATTACTGCATGCTGTTAGTGTTTTATATAAACTCCAAAAGTGAAATCAGCTGATTTAGCAGTTTGCAAATGCGAAAGGGAATGAATAAAGCGGAAATGAGCTATTTTGCGTAGGCCTACTGTTTACAGGTTTGGCA